ACTCTCTACATTTTTTTGCCTCTTATCAATACCCGAACGATAGAGAGTTCGCGGTTCCGAGACGAAATAATCGTCGACTCATTTTTGCATATCCTTAAGTTCGAGGAGCCACATGTCTATCAAATATTAGGTAGTCCGGAAATTTTTTGCAGTTCTTCCCGAAACGATGTTAAAATAACTTTTTTTAGGCTGCTAGATACTAAATATAGAATTAGGGTTGAACAGTTATATACAGTTAGGTGGAGCAAGCTTATGTTTAGTTTGTAAAAAACTTACAAAGTAATTGGTTGTGTTATAGCAGTGAGACGTGTAAATAAGGCGTGGAAGATCAAAGTAAGCATATAAGATATATTTTACTATTTTCTATTTCAGAAAAGGTAAAAAGAGTGTAAAATGCATGTGGAGAAATATGGGCTGCTAATGGGAACTAATGCTGCAGCAGAACGCTCGAGCCCAAATTGGTTTGCGCAATTTTAATGAACGCACAACGGTTCGTGGCATTCCAGAAAAACTTAATTCATCCAAAACCTTATAGAAAAAAATAAATTATTTTATATCATAGCAAAAGATCGCAAGAAATTTCCGGACTATTCAATACAACCGCATCACTATGAGCCAATGACAATCACAAAGAGACCGCCCAAGCCCAAGCTTTTTACTTCTAAATGACCAATCCTTCAGCCTTGTTCCAACCTTTTATTATACCCATCGATTAAGAATCATTTTCTAAATCGATCTAAGCCTGTCTGGCCGCCTATCCGTCTGTCTGTCTGTCTGTCTCAAGTTTGTTCAAGTAAATTTGTGTCCAAGCTGCAGGTCGCCATTATTCAGACATTTTGATGAAATTTGATGTGTGTTGCCCAAGGACGAACGCTATTGAAAATGGTTTGAATTGAACCACTTGAACGTCCTATTTTGAAAAGTCCTTACATGAAAAAAATTGCAATCTTCAAAATTCCTCAACAAAAGATCCGCTTGATAGATATTAGAAATAGTTTTTAGGGTATAAAAAAAAAGCCAAAAAGCACATTAAGTTTTGTGTTAAATAACTGAGTTTCCCGAATGTATAAAATTCATCGCATTTATGAATTTACGTAACGACGCGGGTTTTTATTTCCATTTCCATTATAACTAAAAAATTTATTTTTCAAATATAACGTTGTCTTATCTTCTTACTGTAAGTGACCGCTAGATTAAAGTGCCGACGTCCCTCTCTCAACACAGGTAATACGTATCATTTATTGTCGAAACCGTGTTATAGAAAACTTTTTTTATTTAAATTAAAATATCGCATAGAACGACATAATTTACACTTAAATATAATAAAAATGAAACAAATGTCTACTGTGTAGTTTCGAAAACTTATTCGCGTTGTATTCAACCCGTCGTATAAGATAACTTCAAAGAATGCAAATCAATGCAATGTGTACCGTGATGCATCGAAATCAAATCTTAAGGTGAAAAATTTTATAATGAAAATTTCATTTTTCTTTCAAATGTACATAGATATAAAAAATTAATTTGATTTTAATTTTTTATCAGGTACTTGCATGTATTTTGATCGGCGATATCTTTTAATGAAGATTATGGCATATATTTTGATTAATACACATTGTACCAATTTTTCTCATTCAAGTTAAAAAAAAATGATCAGAATACATGCAAGAATTTAATAATAAAAAAAATACAAAAAATGAGATTCAATCTTGTGATAAAATACAAAAATAAAAAGAAGAAAAATAGATTCAATCATTAATGATGATGATCACAGAATTGATTGTCATCAACGATTACAGCTAACTTAGTTTGTTTTTCCTCAAACAAAGTTGCTCGATACTGAAAAACCCAAAAAAAAAAAGTTAAAGCAAAAATCGATTGAAAGAAACATATTTTCGATTTATTGAAATCTTTGGTTCGATGTATTAAAGCCGTACTTTGCAAGTACCGCATTAAACTTGGGACGCCTGCATACATACATCATTATATCAAAAATCTTGAAAAGCATCTAATACAACAATGCCGATAATTCGAAGCAATTGTATGAATAAATTTTACGCAGACCAGACATGGGGCCATAAGGCATCAGCCTGGTAAATAATATGCTTATTAATCTTTTTAGAAAAATATAATTGAAAATTTGTCGAAACCATTATCATACTATTTCGAAAATCTTTTTGCTTAAAAGTAATCTTGAATTGTAATGAAATTGTAAACCTTTTGCAATCAAAAATCATAATAAAAATATTGATATATACGAAAAGCAATAAAAATGAGATAACAAAGCGTCGTCGCGGAGGCAGATGATTATGGTAAACATTTCCGGATTTCAAAGAATAAAATCACTTCTATATAATATAAACCGAATCCTATTAGCCAGAGATTTTAAACTTCAAGATCATGCAATTTTCAACAAAATTCGAAAACAAAAATTCATTATTTTGGAAAAAGAGAAAAAAAAATCAAAAAAAATTTATACAAATTAGCAAAAAAAAAAATTAAATAAATAAATAAATAATTTTTACTAAAAAAAAAAGCGAATATAAAAATTATAGAGTCATTTGCGTCAATTTTAACAGTTTTGAAAGGAAACTTGAAAACTTGGTTGCTCACGATAATTAAATAATAAAAAGGAATATGTTATTATTATATCTCTTAAAGTAAGTTATCAGAATCGAAATGCAAAAGTGATTGTATCTATCCATACAACAGTAAAGAAAATTAGTCAAAATTTTTATGGCAAAATTGTCTCAAAACAATTAATTGATCAGTGTTGGGGTTATGATCGATCATATTGTAGTGCTTAGTCGAACATTGCTTAGAGTCAATTATGGCCTTGACTTGAGATTTACCAAACCATTATCAGCACACACTTTCATTTATCAGCGCATTCTCTCCGCATATATTACAATAACTCAATAAGTCACCGGTCTGTCACATGCACGGCAACACTAATGACAGATCCATATGATTTCCATCACCATAAAATAAATGTAACTTATAAGTGTTAATGTTCCGAATGTCGCGAACTTTGACACACACAATATTAATACTATGCAGAAATTACATGAATCCGTCCCCATACTGGTGCTGTATATGTCCCAAACAGATGGCTATTTAATTCTTTTTAAGTTTACGACTCATCTCTAATTTTTGGAAAATATAACGGCATAGAGCTTTGAAAATCCGTCCTCGACAATGTACACCGAACTTCGCAGATATTTTCTAAGAAAGCCGACGCAAAGATTGGTTTTCACTTAACATACGACTAATGTACGTTTAACGCATTGATGAGCCACAGTAAAGATCAAGTGTAAATGATAATTATCCATATAAAGAATAGGCTCAACATTTTTTTTTTTTTTTTTTTAATTTTCCCAAATTTTAATTTAAAGAAAACAAATGAAACCCTTAAATTATTTTGTTTTTTTTTTTTAAAAAAAAAAAAAAAAAAAAAAAAAAAAAAAAAATTAAAGAAAACACCTAATCAATTTCGAAATTTACGTAATGTCCGGTCTTCGAATGAAGCCGAGACAGAATTAAGACAGAATTTAAGCCTTTATGCCTTCAAATATTGAAACCAATCGCCTCATAGACATCATAGAACACGGAAATGGAAATTTTTTTTTTTTTTTTGTTACTCACACCTAAGTAAATCGAAAATTTCGCAAATTATATATTAAATCCTTATTTCTCAAGCGGTCTTTGTGTTTTTTTTTTTACTTTTAAGCCAAAGCATTTAGATTGCTTTTGAATGTATTACACTATACACTATACACATAATATACATATATGTATTGTAAATATGAAAACGTTATTCGAAAATATTTTGAAGTATGGAGTTGAATTACATTTAAAATAAGCGGGATATGTGCGGGCGAGTTTAGTTTGAAAAGCGTAACTTTGAATAATTCTACGATATAAGTTCGCCTCTTGTAGTGGATGACTTTGAATAACAGAGACAGAGTTTAGCGTATATGCTTCAAGTCATCGCGATCATGACAAGTGGATTGTTATTGAAACTATTTCAGTTATATCACTCGGGTTGGTTCGTTAATATTAATTAATATTAAGAGATTAGAAAATAATTTATGAAAAAAATATCGATGAGGTAGGTGAGTTTACGAGATTCGTTCTAAATTTTATTAAAAACTTTCTCTCTTTCTCTATGCTTTTCAATTAATTGAACTGAAGTAAATTTTCGATTTCAAATTCATTTTCACTCCTCTCGTTAAATTAAATATTAAACGGATATCATTTCATCTGAGTTCATTTCATGAATGAATGGTTGCACGAGTAGAGTCGTGTTGTGCAGTCAGTTAGTTGCCTCATCGCTCTATCTATGGTTTTATTGCTGTTGCCGTTTGTTATTAGTTTTTATTTATTTATTTTGTTTTTTTCTTTTTTTTTTTTTTCTCGTTTTCGATTTCATTAAGCCGCTTAAACGATTAAAAATCTTTGAAAATGTCACAAATGTCTATCATATATAAAACGAAATCGTGTTTGTTTAACAGTATAATAGCCAGGCAAACAGCATAAATACTCGTTACAAGAGTAACAGTAACAACAAACAACATCAACAGCTTGTTTGTTTTCTTAAAATTGATTTTGATTTTTACACAATTTTATATATATATATATATATATATTTTTTTTTTGCTTTTTTTTTATGTTCGAATATGTAATGAGCACACAACTCTTGGCAAATTGTGTTGATAGTTATATTATCGAATAAAGTCAACTATTAATTGAATTAATTTTTATATGTCAGGGATTTTTAATTTCTTTACACCTTCAGCAATCGATCGTTAGACTTGAAAAAACTTAAATTTACGAGATTGCCTGGATATCCTTACTGCCTAACGTCGATAATCTTATAAATCGTTTTGTTTTGCTTCTTTTTTTTTTTTTGTGTTTTCTTTGAATTTTTTTTCTAGTGAAAATTTGTTTACTAAGCATATGTATTTAGCTTATGATTTATATTAACGTTTGCTCGCACTTACCGCAATCGCTGTCGCTGTCGTCAATTGTGCTAGCTTGATCTCCACTTATACTACTGCCGCCGCCACCTGCGCTAATTCCGCTCGTATTATGAAGTGTGTTATTGCATAGATCGCGTTGAGCCACGGCTGGACTTAAGCTATGCGTTGACTGTATAGGTGCGGGTGAACGAGAACGTTCATCGTTCTCTAGAAGACGTGAACGTTCACTACGTTCACGTTCTCGATACTGTAAATTTGCATAATGAACCGCTGCCTGAGCGGCATGCAAACCATTCGGTCCACCGGAAAAACTCATTAACGTAGAGTTTGGTAAATGACCAAAAGCATGGGTATAAGCAGGTTGACCTTGACTTGTTGTAGTTGCAACGCAAGCAGAGGTTAATGCCGGCTGCTGCTGTTGCGTTGTTGTACCAATATTAGGATTTTGATTTAGCAAAGATGTACTAGACGGTAGTGTAGGTGATCCATTTAATTGACTACGTTGTTGTAACAAATGCTGCTGTTGTGCTATATAATGCTGTAAAGCAATTTGATGTTGATGCTGCTGTTGTAACATATGTTGTTGGTATGGTTGATGCGTATGCTGATGCTGTTGTATATTAAGATTAGTAGTATTTGTGGCTCCATTTTGATGAGCCGCTAAGATATCATTTATCATAAAACGTGATCTCTGTGCTTGCAATGACACCAATGAATCACGAGCTACAGGAGCAGGTGTTAAAGCGGAGGGTGAAGGATTAGCTGCGGCTGTAGACATTTCCGGAGGCATTGTTGTCATTTGGGTTATAATTATAAAAAAAAAAAAATAATTTAAAAAAATTTTTTCTTATTTTTTTATTTAAAAACTTGACACTTTCTTCACATATAATGGAGCAAGGTTGTTATTGATCCTTTTCTTTTTGTCTACTAATAATAGAAAAGCTATTTAAATATCTAGTATTTTAACCGACGCAAATCGCATTTTCTTTTTTGTTGTTGTTTTTTTTTTTTTCTTCTTTTTTTTTTTTTTTTCTTTTTTTCGCCTTCGTTTCTTTGCTCTTATATCGGAAAAAACTTTAGAATTAAATATTATTTATTTAAATAATGACCACGTCCAAGTTAAGTTACTGAAGTTACTGTTCAACCGATACTAAACCAGGTGCTTTGCTAGTTAAAACGAAAACGAAAATCCAACTGTGTGTGCCTCTATGAAAGCAAAAAACCAGTTATTTCTCTACAGTGGCGCCAACACAGAGTTAACTTTTATCAAATAAAACACGCACATCGATTCATCTCTTTTTAACCTATAATGCACAGCCCAATGAAAACTCCCCTTAGTTTATATTAATGTTTTCTCCCTCTTTCTTGTCTCTTTTTTCTCATTAGACTATACGTAGTGTAAGCGCACTATCCTCACCACACATTATATCATATATATATATATAGATATATAAAATATTTACTCTTGTATACAAGTGGTGTATCTTATATCTGCCTGCTAACTGTAGATTTGTTGTTTACCCAAACTCTTATATGTATATTATATGTATGCATGCATGCATATATATAAATATACCCCAAATATCAATCAATAGACCATTGTTGTTGAGCGTTTGTGTGTGTAATTGTGCTATATATGCTCTCTCTTTACATCGTGTTGTCTTATTTGTGCATTGTGTGGGCATTTATTGGTCATAATTGTTTTCAATTGACATTCATTAGACTTCAATAAAAATAACATTCAACACATCATAGAGCATTCATACGTGCCACATATATATATATATATATATATATACACATTGTCAATGCAATGCAGCACATTTTCGTGTATCATACCGAGAGTGCTTTTAAAGAAACATATATTTCTATATTATATACACAATATGTTCGAATGTCAATGTATGTGTACATATATAAATATGTAATTCTTATTTGGTGAACAAAAAATAAAAGTGCTGATCACATATTTTATCATTTACGCTTACAGAGGAAATGATTTGTAGGATATATTTGTATTTTTGGACAGTGATAATATTCGATGCTTATTGTTGGCGTATAAAATGAAATCTCCTTAAAGGCGGAATATTTGTCAATTTGTTCCTTTAAACAGTCAGTTTGACATTTTATTATATACCTTAATTAAGGTAAAATGTTTATTTTATTGATTTGATCTCAAAGTCTAGTTTCCTGTGATTTGTAATGTTTGGACACGCAAGGACACGTTTGTTAATTTTGAAAAGCATTTCTGTTTACGAAGAGCATTCTTTAAGAGATATTTCAGTCATTATAGAATGTACCATAACTCTAACGGTCAACATTAAATGAGATAACTATCAACAGATAAGAGAGATAAGACGAGATAATAGCGTGACATATGTGACAAAAGATGAAAGAAGAAAGAGCTCGCAATATATTCCGGATAACAAGAAGGTAAAAAGATTCGGAGCCACACCTTCTTTACGTACGAATAATTTCTTTGGCGGTTCGTTTCAAGCTCAAACGAATCTGCCTAAATTCTATTCCCTGAAGTATAATCTATTTTTAATGTTGCAATTTCTAATGGAACTTTTCTCTTCCCGAATTTTTTGCTCCCTACGTTTGTCCATTTATTTGTTTTGTACGCTTTTCTATATACCCTTCAACTATAAGCCGAAAATAAATTCGATTTATGGCAAATAACAAATGAAAGTATACGTTAGATTAAGAATTCTAAAAAATATTGGGCTTAAAAAATATTAAAATTATTTTTTACTCTTTTACAGAAAACTTAACGCTTTATTTATTGCTAAATCATTTAATCCACAAATTATTGCAGATAGCAAAAGAGAAATTTTTTTTTTTTTTTTTTTTTTTTTTTTGTAAATGAATATAATAAATTTTCTTTTAAATTAAGAGAAAAGTATTGTGGACTTACTTATGAAATATCCCATACCTAACGCGGTCGTTCATATAATGACGAAGTGATCGAAAAAGTGATCCGACCCGAGCCATTTGTAATAGGGCTCATCGTTCGTTTATTATAGATTGAGCTCAAGAATACAAAACGTATAGGTGGGCAAATAAACCTCGATTGATGTAGAATTACTTTCTATGGTGAGTCTATCTCAAGTCTTAACGATGTTACACAAACGATCGACACAAACTTAATATACCCTGTACCATAAACGGTGATAGGTGTAATAATAAGTATATAATAATAAGTAAATTACGAATTTTGAAATCTCCTTCCAATATTTTCTTCCAACTTATGGTCTTATGTTCTTGGAAATCACATTTTAATGTCATAGCGAATACGTTAAAAGATTAAATTACATAACTTTTATCAATATAAAGACAAACTGTCAGTAGTTACCTAGATATTGCGTCAGTCATTATTCATAGCTTGATAGGATTAAAGTTAAAGTTAAAACATTTTCGATAGCATTAACGCCCTTTTTTCAACTTTTTCTAATTACTTTATTTGCTGTCCTTTAAGAAAGTTACAGTTAAGTTATCAGTTTTGTGTAATAATTTCAATTCATAACCATGTGTGCAATCTATCATCGATGAGAGTAAAATATGCAAACCGTTGAACTGTCAAACCATGTGTCAGTACTGGACAACTGGAGCTTGCATACATAGTTGCTCCCATTTACGTGGAGAACTCGAGTAAGACGTGTATAAATCTCTTTAGTATAGCTAAAGATATTACCTAATGGGGCCTTTATATTAAATGTCTCCGTATTTAAATAGAATATCCAGATATATATTTTTACGTAGAGAGCGTAGAAGAGGTGCAGAGGTTGTGCGTTGGGCGCATCCTTTCAACGTCTTGGACCATTTTCAATACTAATTTGCGTGCAATAGCTTTCATTGGGAGACAGATACACAAGGATAGGTAAATCCATTTAGATTTCGATGCCCCATATTCCAATAAACGGCAGCTTATGGAAGGTCTTAATCTTTGATAGTTTCGACGTCACGCCTATTTACCGGCGTGAACAGGAATATTCAGAAATTCGCCTGCCTGGTTTCCTGTTTTGCGTTGGGAATCAACTCTTAAAGATCTGCCACATTAAGTCTGAAAATTCTTAATCTAGCCCTTAGTGTTGTTTATCTATTAAATTCATTATTTTAATCTGTGTGCGTGTGGGTTATCCTAATACATATGGAGTACGTATGCTTAAGAAGCATATAAAATATCGATCAAAAAGATACCATCGATTAGATTGTTGTTTATTATTTTGTTCAAGAAATAAAAAATTCAATAAACTAAAGCTTTCTTTCGAATAAAGAGAATATCAAGTTTAAAAAAGCGAAAAAGAAATTCTCAATCGAATGTAACATGAGCAAAACAATTATGAAAAATCCATATTCCCCTAAGAATGCAATATAATGAACTGAATGAATTTTATAAAGTTTCCGTACTCTTATGTATTTCGATAGTTTTAACTTGAATTCACTTAATTATGATACATAGAAGAGAAAAAACTTTGTTAATATATATCACTTCATTTGATTTCAGTATCATGGAAGAAAACAAAAAAAAATTTTTGAATCCTACTGAAATTCATATTAATTAATTTAGTTAATTAACATCATTTTTTATATATCTCTGATATTACAAATTACATGGTAACTTTTAAATAATAAATTCCCACATACACAAACATATTCAGACATACGTGACACAAAACGCAGCCATATTTATTTACAAAAATTTACCTCCAGCTAAAAAATTATAAGACCTCCATGGAATTCAACTAAACTCATGAAATTCAACACTTTGCTATAAAAATATGCAAAAATACACCACAAACATTACCCCAACTAAGTTTATTTCTTCTTTCTCTTTTTCTATCGAACAGAGAGAAAGAGAGTGAGTGAGTGAGTGAGAGAGAAAGAGAGAAAGAGAGAAAGAGAGAAATTGAAAAATACACACATACTCATCCATGCAACTCTAAAGCATACGCGGTCTTAAGTAAGGCAAATTTCTATGCAATACTCATTGCATACAGCATCTCTTTTTTGAATATAATTCAAAGCGTTTCAATGCTTAAACTCCACCCATTTTATCTGTGTGTGTGTACGCGATTGAAAAACAAGTTTGATTGCAAAAGCAAAACAAATATGCGATGCTTACGTTGTGATCTCTTCTTTAAATATATATTTCGTTTCATTTACTCTCGTTCATTGATGGTATTATGCTTTTATCTCTTATTATGAAAAAGGTGTGTATTTCACATTTTAAAAGCTTGAGCATATACAATAAATGCATATGAGTAGGTTTGTATGTGTCGATGCAAGTTTTTATATCCCTATTTCTTTTGTTATTTTTCGGCTTTTAACACTTTTTTGTTTGACATTTAAACAGTAAATTGACGCAGTTAAATGTGACGATGAGAAAAAATGATGCTGCTACTCTCTCACTCCACGAGTGCATGTATTTCTTTCTGACTGTTGAAGTAAGACTAGAGAAGAATTATGTTTTTTTTTTTTTTTTTTTTTTTCTACATATTTCTTTTTTATTTTTCACAAGTACTTAAGAAGTTTTTGTTATATATATACACACACAAATATATATATATATATATAAATATTTTACTTTTTGTGTGTATTTATTTTTCAAAAATGTACGTATAACTGCTTAAATTGCGCGAGTTAAAGTACAAGGTATTGTTATCAATTTTTCTTTGTATTACTTTCTTTCACTATGTATTTTAGTATAGCAAACTGCTGGTGTAGCTTTTAAAAATGAATAATGTGTGTGTGTGTGTGTGTTGTACACAGTTGATTGTTTATTTTATTTATACGGTGTGTATACAGGTTTCATCTTTCAAAATGGCTTTTCCTGCAGTAATTATGTGCTTTTTTCTTCCAATCGTCACTTCACTTGCGAAAACGTAAAATGCGTGTTAAAATTTAGATTCTATTAAGTATGGACGATCATCATCAGCTGTATGAGAGGTTGAACACGAATTAAACCATAGAAAACCATTCTCTAATCGCATACAAAATCCGCCGGCTGTTATCCGTAACATGAATAGGAAAACGATTGTACACTTTTTACATTAAATTGGCATTTTTCCTCTGTTAAAAACAACCAACTACGCAAACATTGAAC